GTGAATGCTTGTGCCACTGAAACTATTAAGAAAATCATTAAGGATATGGATGGTGCCTTCTTTTCTTTATTGGTTGATGAATCGCGTGATGTGTCAATAAAAGAACAAATGGCAGTGGTGTTTCGTTATGTGGACAAAAGTGGGGATGTAATTGAAAGGTTTGTGGGCATTCAACATGTTAGCGACACTACATCAAACTCACTAAAGGAGGCTATTGACACATTGTTTTCAAGAGAGGAATTGAGCATTTCTATGGTAAGAGGACAAGGATATGATGGAGCTAGTAATATGAAGGGTGAGTTCAATGGTCTTAAAACACAGATTTTGAGAGAAAATCCTTGTGCCTATTATATTCATTGTTTTGCACATCAACTTCAACTAGCTCTTGTGGCTGTGACAAAGGGAAATGCTGATATTGCCACTTTCTTCACATCTTGCAATAGCTTGGTTAATATTGTTGGAGCATCATGTAAGCGTCGTGACATGCTTAGAGATCAACTACAAGAGGATATTATGGAAGCTCTTGAAAAAGATACTCTTCCAACAGGGCGAGGTTTAAATCAAGAAACTTGTCTCAAGCGTCCCGGTGATACACGTTGGAACTCACATTATGGTACATTACTTAGTATCATTTCCATGTTCAAATCTGTGGTGAAAGTGCTTAAATTGATTATTGAGGATGGCTCCACTGATAATATAGGTGAAGCAAATAGGTCATTGAGAGATATACAATCTTTTGAGTTTGTATTTCACCTATTTTTCATGAGATCTATATTGGGAGTCACAAATGATTTGTCACAAGCATTACAAAGGAAAGACCAAGATATTGGGAATGCAATGGCTTTAGTCAAAGATTGCAAAGACCAACTACAACACATGAGAGAGAATGCATTTGAAGCCTTGCTTGATCAAGTATCTTCCTTCTGTGGCAAACATGATATTGAGGTTCCAAACATGGATGATGCATATGTAGCTCAATGGAGATCACATCGGAAAGCTCCTAGAATAACACATCTCCATCATTATCGTGTGGATATCTTTATTCAGATCATTGAGTGGCAACTTGCGGAACTAAATCATCGTTTCAGTGAGGTAAATACTGAGTTACTTCTTTGTTTGGCATGTTTGAGTCCGGATGATTCATTCAGAGCTTTTGATAAACAAAAGCTACTTCGTTTTGCTGAATTTTATCCTCAAGATTTTACTCCCCGAGACCTCTTGGCACTTGAAGATCAGCTTGGGATTTATATTCATCATATGCGTACAAGGAGCGATTTTTCTCAATTGAAAGGGATTGGTAGCCTTGCAAGAAAAATGGTGGAGAAAGGGTTGCATAAAACATTTAATTATGTTTATTTGCTTCTCACATTAGCCTTAACTTTACCGGTTGCAACAGCTTCTGTGGAGAGAGCATTTTTTGCTATGAATATTGTGAAAGGTCCACTTCGCAACCGAATGGGAGATCAATGGTTGAGTGATAGCTTACTTGTTTATATTGAGAAAGATGTGTTTATTTGTATTGATAATGACTCTATAATGCAACGTTTTCAGAATATGAAAACCTGTCGTGGACAATTGTAATGTGGTTTTTTCTATTAATTAAGAATTATAATATTATCATTTTATTTTATTTTTTTGTTCTATTTTGTATAGAATTTTTTAACCTTTTAGACGTTGACCCCTGCAAACAAAATTCCTGGATCCGCCACTGTGTGTATGTGCTACTTTATTATAGAGGGAAAAATGTGCCTTGAACCATAATCCGAGTAATAATTCTGGTAAATTACTGAGTTTTTCATTTGTATGAATAATGAAATGGTTGTTGGGTTGGAGTATATGTTTGCATACAATATTTTATTATGTTTTTCACTTAACTTTATAAAACATGTAAAAATCATTAAGAATTTGTCAACTCTATAAAAGTTACTCACTTAAAAATAGTCATTAAAAGTTAGAATTGGATACATCCACCTACGAGGGTATGATTTTTTATTCAATTTATTTTATTGGAATAATAGTTTTTGAATTTTTTTGTTTGTAAGTTTAGGTTAAAAAAGAAAATGTTTTGTGGGTGGGGGAAAGTGGGGGGAGTGGAATGGAGGAATGATTTGTTTCAAAAATGGAAAAATAAAATGAGTGCATGCTCAATATATTTGCCAAGCTGTTTTACCTAAAAAAATTCCTCATTTTTTGTTTTTTGTTTTGTTTTTATATCCAAAGTTCAAAGAATCAAATTCCAATTGGAAACTTGATCGGGGCTAATATCTCTTTGGTTCATAGTTATTCAAATTGGAAATATAAACTTTTTTGTCTTTCAATTTTGGGAGATTTACTATTATACTCAATATAGGGGCCCAAATTATATGAAAATCCTACATGAAATGGGCTTTAGAAACATATCAAAAACACATTTACAATATAACAAAAAGGCTTCGAACTTCTTCTAAATTACAAAATTGCTATCACTTTCTTAAAACAAGCCCAACTCTAAAACCTCATAAAAAAACCCCAAAACACTCAATAGCGCATTAAAGTAATTTAATAACTAAAATTAAATTCAATAGAGCCAGCTGTAGTTTTTGGATTTTTTTTGGGTTTATTTATAGAAATTAAATGGTGTTGAATTTATCTATATTACTAGTGCTAAGAATGGGTATATAACTAAATATCTTTTCAATTTAATCGAACATTTTGGTTTGGTAAAAATATTCTTAAAATATAAACTAAGCCTATTAATCCATCATAGAAAAAAATAATTTAAGAAAACCTATACTCACATCTTTTCTCTTAGTTTTTTCCCAAAATGTGGAGCCTCATTTGGTGAATCGGTTTGAGATATGTTAGACTGTGTAACATAATATATTGGATTGTTGTTCAATTTAATGATTCCAATCTCATCATTATAAATTCACCAAAAGCAACCGTTATTATATTTAGTCCAATTTAATTGAAATAATCCTGTTCAGACCGGACCACAAAACGAGTCGCGTAAATACAAACGTAACTTCTCACGAATAGGACTTAGCACAAAGCCTATGGCAGTTTCTAAGGAAACTACTGGACTGGATAAATTAGATATAAGCCCAACTCTAGATGAAGCCCACTTGAGGAAACAGCAAAAAAAGAGGACCAATATTGAGTTTGAAATTTTCAGCCCAAGGCCTGAAAGCTTACGTCCAATTTGATGACATATACGACGTCGTTTGGAGCCTCACTGGATCAATAATTTTGTAGTTTTGGACCGACGTGCGTAAACGGCATATTCTCAGGGTTTTGAACTTCTCCTGTTTCTTCTGCTTCTTCCTCCTCCTTCCTCTCTGCCACTATCCCCACCTTCATTCCAGGG